GGACAAGTGAGTGTTCGCTAATTTATCCTCCGATTAATAGATGACGTATGCTTGAACGGAAGCTAAGGTGATTGATAAAGTCAAATAAGCCTAACTTTAGCCAGGCATCAGTTGAAAATATTATGAAGATTGGTTTTGGATAGGTTGTTGGGATCTGTGAAAGAGACTGTGTGAAAATAATACGCAACGAATAGCGTCTGATCCATACTCCTAAAAATCCGTGCAAATATGTTATGATAAACCTAATAGAATACTTCTTCCTCAATGAATGCAATACAGCTTCGGTTGCCAGTATGCAGCACTAGAACCGCTCGCATAATTTTTGTGCACATACCTCCGAGTAAGATCTCCTACACTGCACTTTGACCACTTTATTTTTTGCTTTTGAAGTGCGCTTAATTTTGAAATGCCTAAAAGCATCAGGCTATATGAATGTAACAGGAAGCCATAGATCACTACCATCTACGATCTATACCCTAAAATATCGTTTGAATATAGCATTATTAGGCAACTTGTAACTCAGCATGCAGTACCTGAACTGATTGAGAAGATGCTTCAACCGCCTATACAACGGTTTTCAGGCAAGCTACTGCTCCCGTTTGTTGATTTTTTGAATGATTTTATCGTGTACATCTAATTTGAATATACCTCCAAAATTCAGGGTAATTGCCATGAAACTGAGGAAGATCCTGCTGGTTGTTGGGCCAATGCTCACCGCCCTGCCTCATTACACTTGGGCTATGGGCCGCAACCCCAAAATCACCGCCGCACTGGGTGCACTGCATTCACTCTACGTCGTACGTCCGAGCAATTCGATTTTCATGTATCAATAAGGCCGCCCGTTAACGCCTGACTTTGTCAAAAATGTGTTTTTTTCAGGTATTGACATAGTCTCCTCTCTGTCCATTTTCAGCCTATCCAAGTTCGCGAAATGACAGAAACTAAGCAGAAGTTCAATCGCCTGGGTCTGTTCAAGTTTGGTAGCCAGCTCTCCGAAAGCACTCTTGCTGTGGCCCAG